GTAAGCACAACACGAGACTGTCAGCTAAGTCTCGGTAAGTTTGCCTCGCTCCTGAGGATTATCTTAGGTTTGCTCTTCTTAGTGTATTGAGCACTTTACGTAGGTGTCTTTTTGCTCGTTTTGGTTTTTTCTTTGGACTTGGAGATTAAACACTTGACGATTGTTTTCGCCTTGTTTTAATGTTCTTGGTTCTTTCTTTTTTTTATTCCTCATTTTTCCTCGGGTACCGATTTGTTCTACTGCAAGTTGAGCTATCCGAGGTTTTTCCAAACCAGTACCACCATTTATAATATATATATATATATATATATATATATATATATATATATATATAGATAGATAGATAGATAGATAGATCTGAACAGACTGATATATATATATATATATATATATATATATATATGTGTGTGATGTGTGAAAAGTGTATATAAATATAAATAAATATATATATGTATAATTATTTATATATTATATATATATATATATATATATATATATATGTATATATTTATATATAATTTTTAAAACATTAATCAGTTTGTCTGAAAAGTGTATAGGATAAAACTATCTAAACCAAATATATATATGTATATATATATATTTATATATATATATGCATCCCATAAGTTCTGTCCGAATTTTAACTTATTGTTAAAATGAACGAAATTTAAAGAGTATTTTATAATGTCTAATGGAGCTGAACATTATTTTTATGTTTAGATGCATTTAAACTATAAATTTTATTTCAGAGAACAATAAAATTAAATTTTGTTTGATTAAACCCTGCTAACATGGAAGTACCCATTTGAATTTTATGAGTTCAAAAAAGGAAACTCAGCAGCCGAAGCGGCTAAAACATTCCTCAGTTTATGGAAAATGTGAATGAAAGAACCCAGGGTCACAAGATGAAGATCAACCGGACGTCCATCCAACCAAAAAATATCATATATATATATGTTCATATAAAAACTAAAAGTTCCTAAACTAAAATATATTTTCATAAATATATATATATTGTTTCATATATAGTGTCGAAAAATGGATCAAAATGTTAAGCGTCTTAAGGGGCCACAGCCGAGAAGGGAACTTCATGGGCAAAAGGTTCTTTTTAATCTGGTGGGATCGCCATACATATCCACTTTATATATTCAAAATTTGGACAAAACTTATATATATATATAAACATAAATATATATATATATATATATATATATATATATAGAGAGAGAGAGAGAGAGAGATGTGTAAATGGTGTAATGACAACAACGATAGATCGTCAGTGAGTTGGAATTTCATTCGTGGTCGTTACATTTACTTTTCCTATCGATTATGAGTTAAATTGTAAGGCAGACTACACTCTTTAGCCTTGGTTGGCAACCAGTCTAGGAAAAGGACAACTCTGAATACAAACTCTGAGGGCTATCATGGGATATTATGGCACACGATGCGCGCCTATTTTCTGTATCCAGTGCTTCCGCATAATCCTCCACCACTCCAATCAAATCATCTTTGCCGTGTAGTTTGACTGTTCAATTTCTTGGCGTTTTCCTTATATATCACATAAGAAAAACGCATTCTAATTTAAACAAGCTGACTAATTTTCACCATTAGTAGTCCGGGTTATCTCACAGGAACGATGCAAATCATTGAAGATAAGACGCCTTATCATGGCGTCTAGTCGGGACTGACGTCATGGAACTGGTGGCAGCAAAATGTGAAATGAGAAAACATTAAAGAAAATTAAAGAAAAACAGATGAAATGAAATTGGGAACCGAGTTATATATATTTGGATACATTCTATTATTATATAAAAGATACAGCCCACTTTAAACATCTTTCACTACAAAATACGCTATTTTAATCTGTGTATAAACTATTTCATATTCGTACAAAATAATAATACATTTACATAGTTTATGTATTCTTTTCCAGTGCGGTATAACTCCATGTAACCGTTTTACACATGATATCATTTACACGATACGCGTATATATAAAATAATTTGAACACCGTTTCTTTATATTTTGTGTCCCCTCAGGACGTAGGCGATCATGGTTTTCCACAATTTCCTGTCCTTTGCAGCTCTCAATAAATTTGGTCTGTTCGCTATTTCTCCTAAACCCTGTTCCGCCACCCATTTAATTGAGCTCATCAGGTATCTTATGCGGTGTTTTTCTCTGTCCCTCTTGCCTTCAATCTGTCCTGTGAGTATCAGATTTTACAAGCCCTCCTTCCTCATTATGTGCTCCCCAAAATTTCAACAGACTCTTCCTGATGTTAACTATAAGTTACCTTTTTGTTTCCATTTTCTCTAAAGCCTCGTGGTTTCTCACAAGTTCGGTCCATAGAATTCTGAAAAAAAATGTGATCTAACAACATACAGGGTACGATGGGCAAATTGTCGTCATTTTATATTTTCCATTTTGCGCATGCGCATTTTTTTTTTTTTTTTAGATTTTTGTCGACTGTATAATCAGTTGGGCATCGTCTGGGAGAAAAAGCGCATTATGACACAATTCATTTTGCCAGAAATTTAGAAACAGTGTCC